CCACAGAGGGTGTAGGTCCTCCTCTCACCCACGTTCTGCGTGCTCCGGTAGGGAAACCGCCTATGCACATCCCCATCCATCCACCCGGTCGCGACACCCATCACTACTGACCAACTACAGCCTTCTAGTAGGAGTAGGAGTCTCCCAACGATGTTGTATCCTAACCTTCATACGTAACACCCCTTTCGCGTTTTCACCCATTTTTTTTGACTACTCTCATCATTAGCTACGCATGTCTTTGAGCCTGAGCTCATATAGGGTCACAATCGGTCAGAGTTTCTTCTACTGCGCAATTTTTGAAATATTTGCTTACAGTTTTGTCATTGTCGTACAGACAGTTTCGAGCGGCGATGTCCCTGTGTAAAATGTAACATCTGTGCAGATACTCCACTCCCCATGCTGCACCCATCACCATCAGAAGACGTTCGTCTCGGCCAATTTTCTTGTTCTTTTTCAAGTATGCGTCCAATGCACCCCCTAAACAAATAGCCCAATCAATAACTATACTCCTTCACCGCTTCGTTCAAGGCTAAACTACCTGGGACGTATTCGAGAATAATGTAGAGAGGAAATTGTAAAAGTGCAACACCGTAGATGCGCACAACATTCGGGTGCTTCAGTTCTCTCCCTAGACGGGCTTCCTGCATCACTTCTTTGATTTTCGCCTTCGAAATATCGCAAGATTTGAGCTGAAATCCATCAATAGTAAACTGAGGGTAGCTGGGCAAAAGGTAGTACCAAGAGTAGTTTGTGCAGGTTCTCTTGTAGAGACCTGTAAATTCTTGCAACCAAAGTGGCAAAGCGGCTCACTCCTAACTTTTGGTTAACTTCAAGGGTTTACCCGGTCTCATCGAAATCGATAGCTGTCGTGAGTTAGAGAAATGAACTGGCGAAAACGCATAATGTCCCCCTGAGCCGAACAGCGCCAATCGCACCACGAAGAACGTTCCCTAGAAAATGGCGACGATATAAACTATGGTGTCCTTGGGGCTATGGGGTCCTGTCATCCGCTTCTAGTGAATAGGATGACAGGAAGGCGGCACCAAGGACACCATAGTTTATATCGTCGCTATGCGGAGGGGGGCGTTAGGAGAATGGTATGAGCCTTCAACTGCGTTTTCTACCAGTGGCTGCTTCGGGCAAAAAACAACCAATGGTAGAGCACGCCACGGGTAGGCCCATTTCACGCCTCTTGACTCCGCTCTGAACTGCTGCCATATTACCTGTTCATCTTCCCAAAATGGTCGGCACTGCCAACACTCTCTTCTGGCCTGGGCACCTTTACTAACTTCTCGGGAAACTGCTAATCTAGTCTCGAGTCAGTGTGTAAGCGGATACCTCGAGAAGACTGGTTGAATCTAATTCAGTGCCTGCTAGCCTCCCCCCAGCTAGTGCTGGAGCCTGCTTCAGTGGCCATTCATATACTTCGAGAGGTCATTGCTAGCTGTTTCTCGCGCTTTTAACAACGAATAATAAAAACAAATGCGACCGACCGTTTTAATAGCGACAGGTACCGATCTCCCTGAACTTCTCAGAAGTGTTCCTTTCTTCACTTCACCAAAAGCTCCTTGTCCCAATAGCTTTCCTGTAGTGACTTGCTTGTGCTGTATCTCCCACTTTGCCAATCCCACTCCTCTCTTGAGCATAATATCCGCCTGAATTCTTTCTAACTACAGATGTTCGTAACACTTAGTTTAACGCATTCCAAATGATTCTGTTTTCTGGAAATCTCTCTACGTCATACGTCCTTTGAGCTACGTTCATACTCTGCGGCAGCGTCCACAAGTGTTTAACAGCGACCGCCAGCGACTAGGAAAGTATGGATAGCGATCCAGCTAGCCGCAACGTCTACCCGCGTCCACCAGCGACCAGGAGTGAGAGTGTGGGGAAGTGAGAGGGTAGTCAGACTGCTGGTGGGAATGGAGGAAGTAGGGGAGGGGAGGAGAACAGATCAGGCGTGTGATTGTGGCGTGTGGAACCGCAACTGTGCCACATGTAACGCTGCGTCGCTCGTGCCGCGGATAGGCGCTACAACCTCATCGATATCTACACTTTTCTGACTATCCCGGTCGCTGACCCTGACGCTGACGGACGCTCGAAACGCTGATAGTCGCTGGTGGACGTTGCCGCAAAGTGTGAACGCAGCTTTATGGCGAGGCTATATGATGCGAGGCTACACATTAGCTTTATTCGCGTAGCAATTTCGAACCGTGAGAGTGAAGTTATTCCATTAGAATTGAAGGCTGTAGGAGGCTGCCTGTCATACCCACTGATTAGCAGCTTTTATGAAAAGCTTCTGCTGTTGGTCAAAATGTATTCCCCTCCCCCCGCGGGACGAAGCATGCTTTACAGCTCATATGTACCTTTGGTAGCCGCCAACGCAAAAAGAACACGGTCGTTTCAACACAGGCCATTCCTTCCGAGAACTTTGCTAGTCGAGCTGTGCTCCCCTTCTAGAACTAGAGCTTCATGCTGTCAGGATGCTGGAGAGGTGCACGGGGTGCAAGCATGCTCATGCTCCTCGTTGCAGCATGTTCTTTTCGTACTAGTAAAGCGCTGTTATATACCAGCATACCTATTGAGTGTGCCCCATTTGGTTGCTTACCTACTTTGATAGTTGGTGGAAAGCAAACGGGACGTTTGTGACAGAGATGCACTTACAGTCTTGTTCGTTGCGGATGCTGAGAAGTTCCAGAGGGGTCTGGATTTAGTGCTGCGCCAGCCGATGCTGAAGGAAGTTCCAGAAGGGTCTGGATTTAGTGGCTGCGCCAGCACCTTTTTCCCGTGGTCGCTTGCTAGCATGCCAAATAGGGTGGAAATCTGGCTGGCGCATCTCCGAAGCCCACCTCGCTCGTTGAACAGCCGCGCTCGCATTTTACAGCGAGTAAGACTGTAGGCTGTTAAGCTTTCTGTACAGCTGTAAAGGAGCATGCACGATGACACCGCATAGAAACTATGTCATCCTCAGTGCATAGATAACTTCAAAGTCCGGCAGAACATGAGCGTATATCGCTGTCATGTACCCAATCGCTATACACCAATGTGAAGTGAAAGGGGATCCAACCCGAATAGCGCGAACCTGGCTCACGGCCGTGCTTATTTCGGCTGTGCGCTCTTATCGAGCACTTTTTGATTTGAGGAAGTGGAAAAACCTCTGCTATTACTGACAGCGACATCTTGTACAGTAAAGGGCTCCTGCATGTTAACCTGCCGCGGCACTGCCTTCAGAATCGCAGAGCCCACAGAATGGCGCCATCGGATATACCTCGAAAGCTATTGATAGACGGTTTTCCATTGGGGATTAGCGAAGGAAGAAGGAAAGGACTGCGTTCATGACTCTGCGCACGACAAAAAAGCGAACGCACAAGAGTTGACTAGTGTCCACCAGCGATCATCAGCGTCCACCAGCGACCAGTAGCGTCTCGAGACGACTGAAGTATAGGTGTCAATCTGACGACCAGCAGGGTCTACCAGCGTTCGCTAGCGACCAGCAGCGTCCAAGAGTGGCGAGCATGGGACGATAGGAGGGTAGCAGACAGCTGGTGGAGTACGGGCGATAGGAGAGCACCACTTGTCTGCCACTCTGCTATCGTCTCCATACTCTTCACTTCTGAACGCTGCTGATCGCTGGCGAACGCAGGTAGACAATCTGCTGTTCGGTAGATCGACACCTGTACATCCCAAGCCCTCGAGACGCTGCTGGTCGCTGGTGAACGTTGGTAGACGGTGGTGGTCGCTAGATCGATACCTCTACTTCTCCAGTCGCTGACGCTGTCTGAAGCTCAGGATGCTAGTGTTCGCTGATGGACGCTGCTGGTCGCTTGTGAACGCTGCCGCAAAATATGAACGCCGCCTAAAGCAAACGGTTCATCACCATTTTGAAAGAAGAGTGTCTTTGAATTCAGCCCAAATGGTTTCATTCAGTATGGCTAATGGAATACAGCTGCTGATGGGTGTGATTATGAGTTAACCACTCGTTTTCAAAGTGCACTTATCTGAAGGGCGTCAGGAGAGAGCTGGAGCACACGCTCATATGAGTACGAATCAAGCCGTGCTCACGCTCTGCAACTCCTTCGACGTAATCGACTTTTCAGCGGCTGTGCTCGGAGGATTAGATACGTACGATTTGATATTTGATGACAGTATCACATACATTATTGATGCGTACAGCATGAGACGAGTAGTAGGCGAACAAATCCCGCAGAAATCGGAAAGTGACCGTATGCTCGAAGTAGAACCGCAGATCCTTGTGGTAAATTATGACGTTACGTACCTGAACATGTAAACCTGCGTTCAAAAATCACATGCCACCACTCTTACGACTGTCAAGCCAACGCTGCGTTCCACAGTGGACTCATAGCGTTTCAGATAGCGCACTGTTGGCGGAAGCGTGCGCTTGTGGATCGAAGCGCCCGGCTTGAGCAACTTTTGGCTCATGGATCCAACATTATGCTTGTGATAGTTTTTAGAGCGCGAAATACGGGCGTTAAAGATAACTGTGAACTCATTTCCATGGGCCCTGGTCTTCGGAAAGTGCAGGGGAGAGGCTGCAGTAGCCACCTGTTCTGTCAAACGTGCACGGGGTTGAAGGGTATCGATGCGTGGGATGTCGGGAATGTGAAAAGAGAATCGTAGTTCAGCGCACTGATGGGCGTCGCGTGCGACGTCGCACCGCAAATGACGATGGTTCCAAGTAGTAGATGGCGATAACAGGCAATTCAGAACCGAAAATAGTCATCCTTGTCTACGACGACGGGATCTACATGAAGTTCGGTGCCCCGTCGACAGCTTAACACGAGTTGAGAAAACGCCGCACCCATCGCCGCGCGCAGCGGAGAGGCAAATTACGAAGTCTCCCGTCTCCCAATGTCGTCACCATAGCCCGCCCGCGCTGCCGCACTTGACGCCCAACACTAACGCGAAGCGCGCTTGCCTTTTCTAGCGCTCTCTCACTCCTGGTTCTTCTGCCGCTAAGTTTGTATTTCGCTGCGAAGCCTTGGTTCGACACAAATACTGCACTTTGAGGATATGGCAGACAGAGTATGGAGAGGGAATTCGAGCCCCGACCCTACAGTCCGTTCCCTTGAAATTTTAGCACATAAAAGTGGCACGCCGCTGCGGCTGCGCACTCATTCGCCTTGCGCTTAGCAAGCACCTACCTCGAAGTGAGTGTACTGCTTGTCTTTATACAGTAGTTATCGTGATAAGCCACTTATGTGCTTATCGATACACATTCATTGCAGAGTGCAAACATTGAAGCGGTTCAGAGCGCAAGCATGAAGCGGTCAACGTGCGAAGGCAGAGATAGTCTTCCCTTCAGTACCCCGTGGGTCTCCTACAACAGTATTTGTGGGTAGGACCATTCGGGACGGCGCGGCAGACTTACATCGGGTTCCAGCGTTAACGTTTCTGGATTTGTTGATGGTGGTTGATCAGTAGTCAGTAGTACATCTTGTGGGAAGAGTGAAAGAAAAACGTAGTCCGGGAACTTCAGGATTCCCTACCATGTAATGACGACCTTCACCTAAAGGTGTCTCGGCAAACTTCCCTTCTGGATCCATAAGTACCGAAACGACAGTTTCTTTCTTCTTTTCATTTGATGTTGATGAGTCCACCTTCAAATCCAAGGACCCTGTTACCGAGTGGTTTTCCGGGAAGGTGTCCACTCACCTCACTGGTCCTCACGATGAAGTCGCCATGTTTCTTCAATAGGTAAACTATATCCTCTCTGGGCAAATAACCATGATAGAAGTTGGCTTTGCTGAGCCATGGGTCCACCTACACGAGAACAGCAATGTTCGGGTTTGGGATGGTGTTACCTTCGAAGAGAAAGCGTACAGCGTCACTAAAGGCAGTCGATGTTGTCGAAATCGGAGATATTTTCGGGGTTCCATTATCCATACTAAAAATGACTTTTCCACACTTCGCAACCCTTTTATACTTGATTCTATCAAAGCAGTATCATCCTTTATTCACTTTATTCAACAGCAACAACAAAATGGGTAAATTAGAGTTAGCGAGGATGACTGCAAAGGATGAGGATTAGCTGGCAAGTAGCACACCAAGCCAAACGAAGTATTTGAAAATCGGAAAAATTTCAGTGTTGTAAACTTCAATTGACTTTGACCAAGTTACAGCAAGCCAATGCTTCCTTCCCCTACAGACGAGCTTTACCAGAACATTTCACACTTTCCAGCAACAGTGACCACCACCTTTGAGGGATCCATACTTTCGGGCTCTGTGGGTCGTTCCGAAGTCATCTTTCCAGCAACCTGAAGGCGAGGGCACGATAAATCCCCAAGACATGCAGTATCGATACGCCTAGAAGGACACATTTCGCCGCCCCTGAGCAGGCAAGTGTAGCGCCTTTTCCAAGAGAGGTGCCGCTAGGCGCTGTTTGTCGACGGGGGGGGGCATTTTGTACTACCATTGCTTCCCTAGTTCCGGTTTACAAATCTCACCCTGGTAAAACTTGTGAACCCTTGTGAAGCTGGTGCAAGATCGTCTAGCCACCATCCTAAAACGTGTCAACTCGAGAAAAGGCTACCTAGATGGGTCGGCACATCTATGGAAAGCAGAATGCCCCCCGTCGACAAACTGCGCCGTGCCGCTATAGCACCCTATCAAGCTGCAACGTAGCCGACCCGGACGCCCACCCACAATGCTGATGCTTGTTTCGCTTCATTTGCAAAGTAGATTATGAAGCGAAGGGATGATATGAAGCAGCTGCGATGCTGCATGGATATATGAGTACATACATGCAGCCGTATCTACCGTAGCGGTTATTGGCACGATGTCAACGGAAAACTCGTCCGAAATCTTCTTGAGTCCTGTCGAATGAAGGCTCCTTTTTTACAAGTTTTTGAGTCGTGCAAGTGTCCCGGAAGGTCAGATCGTGAGCGGTATATCTCACTCAGGAGACGATAAAAATTTCTAATAAAGTTACTGTGATCCTCTAGTAGCTTTTTACCCAACTATATTTTTAAATCACATTAATTCTTCAAGTGCTATCGGACAGTTTGAATGTATAACTTGGAAAATTTCAAGCTTTCTTGAAAAAGGATTCTTAAAAGGCCTTACGGCGTCATATAAGTGAGGAAGTCATGAAACCGCTGACACATAACTCTTAGGTAGATGCCGTCCGTCAGCGGATTGGCATATTATATTCATAAGAAACGTAGGACTCTTCACTACTTATTATTTGGACGCTCTCTTTCGTTCATTTTAAGGCCTGCTTAGCATAATGCCCACTCTCCTTTTGTAGATATTTAAATCGTGAAAGTCCAGGGAACAGGTCAACGGCGAAAGTCCAAATTCCGATAATAGTAAGAACTTTCATTGCCTGTCTGAAGCCCACAAATTGGCGACGTCCTCGGCCATGAAAGCAGCAAAAGAAAGAGAAAGTTGAAATTGAAAGCAACAAGAGGCGTGGTTGCGAGAGCGGTGAGGGCCTGACGAGAGGATGCACGAACGCGTGTTTAAAAGAGGATCCCGAAAACATTCAGCCGTCGCCGCGCCGCTCCTTGTCGCCCTTCCATAAATAAAATTTTAGCGAAAATTCTGGTTATATAATAGAGGAACAAACCGTGATCTTCGGTATAGTGGAGATGTGAAGAATCTTTATTCTCTCCTCCCGCCCCCTCCTTCTGAGATATGCCACGCATCTTGAATTCCACTCAGGATAGTGAAAGGCGCTGTTGGCTTGGTGGGGGCACTTCGTCGGTTCCCATCGATGCTTCCTATGCTTGCTGTGGGGACCTGTGAACTCCTCGAGGAGTGGCTGTGCAGTGGCCAGGATGCTTCGTTTACACCTCACATAAATCCGCAGGGCTTGCCGAGTAACTCAACAGGAACAAGTAAAACAAGCTAACGAGCATGCAAAATGCCCTCCTAACCCTACCAGCGCGCCGTGAGCAGCTAACAATATGCACTATCGGAAAATCAGCTACCCATCAGAAGCCGTTTGAACTCCAACAAGATTCATTTTCAGCTGAAAGGAAGATTGTCATACTTTATTATTTGAAAAGTGAGCACAAAAACTGTTCCGTAGTGATTTTTCTCGGAGCACGATCAGTTTCCTATAAGGATAACCCTGAGCTTTGTCTACCCTAATTAAGTAAAAGGCTACGCGAGAGACTATTTGCCCTGATCTGCAATTTGGCTCTAAAACATGAACGTTGGCACACAGCTCATATCCGAGGGCAAGAAGGTCTCTTCCAAGTATCTGCACTTCATGCCTTGCAAATGGGGAGGGGGCGCTTCAAGTTGACTTAAGTTTAATCTCTTTTTTGAAACATATTTATTTATTTATTCATTTATTTACACCTGTTGGCGTAAGTAAAAGAATAAATAAATAAATATTTGCATTTGAACGGCACTAACCATGTTCTGTGTGCTAAGGGAAGTTGAATACCACAGCTGTTCGAAATCAACAATATACAAAACGCAGCCACGTTTAAAGGCAGTTGGCACGATGGTTTCCTACTTGGCCTAAAATACTAGTGGGGAAAATATAGTGGGGGAAATGGCGAAAGAACGGAGTGAAACGGTCAAATCCTGCGAAGAAAAAGCCTCCGTTCTCAGTGACTTGAAAATCGATTTCGGACGAGTTTCCCGTACGGCATCTTACCAATCACCGCTACCGAAGATACGGCTGCATATGTGTACCCATGTATGCATGCAGCATCACGGCCGCTTCATACCAATCCCTTCGCTTCATAATTTGCTTAGCAAATGAATGAATACGAGCGTCAGGAACGGTCGTCCATTTGTGGGCGGGCGGGCATGGAGGGCGTTTGGGACGTAAAGTTGTGGCTTGATAGGGCACTTATAAGGGCACCTTCCTTGGGGAAACCGCCCCTACACAGCGCTTCCCAGCGGGTCGCGGAATTCTATCCTGCAGGAGTATTGATCCTAGTCGCCTTGGGGATTTATCGTGTTAACTGCCTTTAAATCAAGTAGCCGCGGCCACGCCCTCGCCATCTTTGAGATATTGCAATTGCAAACAACCGCAAACACGCCGTCGAATGCGTATTTCCGTGCCGACCCATCTCTTCTGAACACGCGTCTCTGCTTCTCCTGGAATACGTAAGCGGTCGCGGCACTAGCAACCACCAAACGTAGGGACAGCCCTCTTTTTGCCCTCTGATATTTGAGCGCAAGTCTCAGTTCATGTTACAAAAATTCATTTTCAGTGAAACAGTTATTTTTTCAGTTATTTAAAGAAACAATGGATGGCTAGTTAGAAACAGTATTGTTAGTGTAGTACAGTAAGAAAAACCAAATGCTTGAAACTCCATTCTAGTTTGGCGGGAACTAAATTTGCTGGAACGAGCCGTGCAAGCTGTTTTTTCCTGTTTTACCAGGGACCAGGTTCCCCTTTCACAGCCTTCTTAATCCAATCATCCACCACACGAACATCGTATGAAGTAACAAAAGTGATCGGAGGCGACTTCCTGTCTATCACTTTTCCTTGACTGGCAACAAATTCGGCATCTTCATTGTTTCCATAGCACGTCAACCCAATCAACGATGACTTGTCCCTCTGTAAAAAAAGAGAGCTGCTTAGATTTTGATGCTCTCTGAAACCAAAGGTAACGTGTCTCACTAAAGCAAGTGATCGCGAAAAAAAACAATGGATCATTAGAGAGAAGGACAAGACAACCACCATTTGTCGCGTGCGGACATGCGTGGCAACTTCTCGATGTGCACCACTTTGTCGATTGGAGCAGCCAAACACATTTCAATTCAAGACTCCATAACGGGCGTACTCAAAGTGTCCCCGCCCTCAAACACTCTAATTCAAACTGCCGTGCACAACAACTCGCCTGCCAGGCGCGCGACAATCGCTCACTAACGCCCACAAATCGCCGCAAGTATATTTCGATCGTTGAACACACTGACCTGAGTTCTGATAAGAGCAAAGAAAGACACAAAGACATCTCTCTACAGTGCGTACAAAAGTATGTGGACACCTCAAATTTTGATTTTGCGAAGTTGCCTTTGGATTTTGCGATCTGAGACCATCACTGTTAGATTCCTCATAAGCGAAAGTATAGGAATGCACTACTTCTGAATACATTGTGAACTAACGTACAATTATTTATTGTTTTGAAAAAATTTCTTAATAACAAAAGTATGTGGACACCTGAGAAAGTTCAAAGTTTGGCTCCAAATCTGCAACCATAGGTGCATATCGTCTTTGGCTCCCCTTTAACCTGTACTCATGCCTCGTCGTGGCAGTACTCTCTCCGAAGACGAACAATCTCAGATTCGAGCTCTCAGTGCTGCTGGACACTCAAATAGAGAAATTGCAAGACAGCTCGGACGTTCGGCGACGTGCGTTGGTAAATACCTCCAGAATCCTGATGGCTACCATTCAGCACATATTTCGGGGCGTCCTCGATCTTTGCCCGTAAAAGACATCAGAAAAATAGCGCGTGTCGCCTCAAACTCCCCCCTTTCTTGAGACAGATCCATGCTGCAGTGAATCTACCGGTCTCAAAAATGACGATATGGCGCTATATTCGATCAAATGAGCATATCACACGAGAGACCATGAAGAAAGCTCCTCGCCTGACTGCCCAACACCGGCTGGCGAGACTGAACTTCGCGCGTGCAAACATGGCGACGTCGTGGGACAAGGTGAAGTTTTTTTGAGAGATTTGTAAAATCAGAAAGACAACATCTCATGCGCTTTTCTTTCTTAGGTTATCTTTACCAATGAAAAAAAGTTCAATCTCGACGGTCCAGATGGATATTGGCACTACTGGAGAGACCTTCGTCGCGATCCGTTGGTGTTCTCGAGTGCGCGAAATTTCGGAGGCGGCTCATGGTGGGTGGTTTTGGAACCAGCGAAAGTTAGAGCTCGCCTTCCCATAGTGCCGTATGAACAGTCAGGA